CATTTACCTCTAACAGTAACAGAATAATTTTATAAGTTCAAAGTTCTACTGTGTTAATGGCAGGATTGCTGGTTCCCTTAAATCAGAAGAAAATCTCCAATGTCTTCAATCATACTGACACTTGACAAGAGTAAATGATGTTAATATTCCATCTACATAGTCAATAATCTGTCTAGCATGAGATCAACAAATACATTTGAAACTAACAGAAATAAGAAGTCATTTTGACTGTAATGTAAAAATAAAACAATAAAACAAAATAAGAATTAGCTAAACTGAGTAATCCTTAACTTGTGTAAAAAAAATTAAAATAAGACTTTACATTAGAGTGCAAAGTATTATAACCAGAACGTAACATCCATGACAAATATTCTAAGAACAATGGGGAAAATACTGTTGGTTCATTTTAAACATCTTTCTATTTTATAACATTTTAGAGTAATTTTTGCTTCTGATTTCTAAAAGGAAAAACAGCACTTTAATAAAGTTGTATTGAAATAAGATATGAATGAAAAACTACAGAAAAATTATTTTAGTAAAAGTGCTATGTTTCAAATGAAATATATTTAAATCCAACAATAGTGAACCCTGAGCATGATCAAACAAACTAATCTTACCCAAAGTCTATTTTTCTGAAGTGGTAGAACACATCTGTCATTACTTGTGAGTATCTCTTTTCACCTATTTTCTGTCTAAAAGAATTCAAAAGCTACAGCTAGGCTTTAGAGTCAGACCTACTAAGGCACCACATGCTACCTTACCATACTCAGGGAGCGTTACTCGCAAAGAAGAAATAAAGCAGCAATAGATGAAAACAAATGCCCCATTTTTAAATCTTGTTTTTGTGGGTCATCTTTACATCATGCCCATCACATTTAGAAAAATGCAATTAAATGTCTGTCTGAATGAAGGTGACTCACAACGTCAACTATTTGATAAACACAAGAGGAGTTCAGTAGATAAATGGAAACTGGTAATGAAATTTCCTTGACAAGTATGTAGTCATTTTTCAAATGTAAAACTTAGCAGATGGTCAGAAAAGATCTGTCAATAGTTGATTTCCTCTGTTTAACTCAGTCAGAAGATTTGCATATCATTGGTTACCCGCTGACAAAGGAAAAGTAAAGGCATTCTAACAGTAAGCTGCATACTAGAACTAAGGGAAATGAATTTCCTTCAAGCCAAAGTAACATAAGTGACACTTGCAATCCCGGAAGGTACAAGAGTAAAATCTTGTATCTCAACTATAGGAATACTATCTAACAACCTGAGCTCATAAAAAATGTCAATACCTCCTGAAGGTCAGTGAAATAATTTCCTTCTTTTTTTTTTTTTTTTTTTGAGACGGAATTTCGCTGTTACCCAGGCTGGACTGCAATGGCGCAATCTCGGCTCACCGCAACCTCTGCCTCCTGAGTTCAAGCAATTCTCCTACCTCAGCCTACAGGCATGCGCCACTATGCCCAGCTAATTTTTGTATTTTTAGTAGAGACGGGGTTTCACCTTGTTGCCCAGGATGGTCTCGATCTCTTGACCTCGTGATCCACCAGCCTCGGCCTCCCAAAGTGCTGGGATTATAGACATGAGCCACTGCACCCGGCCCTAATAATTTCCTTCTTAAAATACCAACTAGTACTAAATGAGACAACTGCTGGGCAGGTTAAGTTTTCCTAAAGATAAACAGATTCTTTTCTAGAAATATAATTGATATAGGGTGACTTATCAAGTTGAAACATAGCTTGAGAAAAATGCAGGGAGAGTGATTTCTTGATAAAGATAAAATTATAAACCATTTTCAGAGAGGATTATCTTGCTTTGGAAAATAATGATGAAGGCAAAGTCACACCCCAAAGCATGTGCTTCTGTGACCTTTAACCATACTATAACTACTACCAAAGGTCACTAGAGACCTTAAAACAGCATTCCTCCCTCAAAACAACAAAAAAAAGGAAACCTTTAAAATGTTCAGTGACATTATAAAGAAAAAGCTGAGTTCAAATAACATGGTCTTACTAAAGTAAGAAAAGAGGTATGAGAGGTCCACCCCGGCAGAGAAGAGTATTTTATCAGTGACATAGGTTAGAAATTCCAGTGCACGGTGATAATAAAAAGCAACACTATTTTTGTCAGTTTTATTATTTTTAAATGTCTTATAGACGAGGCACCTCCACATTGTTTAAAAACATCCTGGGGCATACCACACCCATACCCTACCCCAATATACCCCACTGCACAAATAAAAGGTTTAGTTTCTCTAGAAATTTTGGGCAAGATCCTTACTGACAAATCAGTAAATTAAGCTGGAAGCCCAAAACAACTGCCAAGAGAACTTTGATTTACTTACAGCTTTAAACCTCACAAGTCCATTCATGAAACAGAGACTAAATGACCTAGTAAAATAAAAAACATAAAAAAGGATCCACCAAAAAGAGTTCTTAGATCACATAGAAAAATATTTTTTTGAGGAGTTAAATTCTCCTTATAAATCTTTTAAATATAACGAGTAATACCTGTACTAAGAACACAAACATGCTAGATGCTGAAGAGCCTGTGTGAACAGAATAGACATATTCCTCTGCCTTTGTCAAGTTTATAGTCTAACAGAAGAGACAATATAAAATAAAATTACAATAAACTCTAACACTGCAATAACAAGAAGCTACATGTGCATGTGGTAAGATCTCACAAAATTTTTCAAATTTTTTCATCTAACCCATAGTAAGAAACATATTAACACTGTAACCCAGTTTCCACATTGTGTATAGTAAAATAACATACATACATATGCATACATAGACATAGCCATATATAATTAAAACTGGAAAATTTTTATGAAACAGTATATGCTCTTAAAATGTGTGATAAATTCTGATATTTCCCATTCCATTTTAATGTACCTGGTTGTAAATCACTAAACTGATCCTGGGATCCCTATGTGGTTTTTGACCTGAAGTTTGAAAAACACAGGCCATTGGTATTTTTAAGTCAGCTGCATTTTTAAAATAAAGGTACAAATTCCTGGCCCTACCTAAAACTACTGAATTGGGGTCCATGGGGCAGAGGGCCCAGAAAGCTGGTACTGTAAAAGCTGGCAACTCTATTATGGCAGGATACAGAAGAACAATTGTGCCCTGAATATATACTGTAGCTTTCACTACAGGTTATCTGACGGCCCAGATATCTGAGATATTTGTATCTTGAGTAAAGTTCACAGAAATGTTTTCAAGGTTGCTGTCTCTGATTTTTCCCCCCTCAGACCCAATATATTTGCTATACCACCTCCTGGACCAGAAGCATCAACAAGAACTGTGCCTCAAAAGCAGACCCGCTGGAAACACGAGAGGAAGGCATACGGTGAAAGCCTCATAGAAACACAGAGAAAGCAATTGCGGAGAGAATAAAAGCCTCAAAAGTGTTGACTGACTTCTATCTTTATTTTCTTAAGAAATCACACTTTTTAAAGAAAGTTATAAGTATCAATCTCATTACTCTTAACTTTATTTTGCTGGGTGAGCAGAATTCCTTTCCGGGTTGAGAAGAAAACTTCCCAGACACAGGCAACCAAAACCAACTTCCCACAGAGCTAGGAGTTTAGGAGTTAAAAATTCAGACATCCTGGAGACCTGGGAGCATCATAACCCTATATTCAAATGTATATCTCTCTTTAAATTCCTCCCCATAAACAAGAAGCAAAAGAAGCAATGAGTTTCACCACATGTTGAGGGAATCCAAAAGTTTGCAGCATCTTAAACAGCAAGTATTTCACATATTGGAAAAATGAGAGACTATCTTCTCTAAAGAGTTGTAAATAATTTTTAGAAAGAAATTCCCTTAAAAAAAAAAAGAGTGTCCCTTCCATTGCCATTGAAAAGAAATTCTACCTCCCCCAAGATAGAATGGCAGCTGGAATGTTGCATTCAAAATACACTGAGAAGAATATGAAAAGTCTATCAAAAAAACTTTAATATTTTTTCTACAGAAGAGAAAAAAAGAAAAGAGTAACTATTTTCTTCAAAATAATGTCTATTTGCAAAGCGCACTGTCTTTGGATAATTTCTGTCTTCTAGAGACACAGTACAGGATGCTTTGATGAAAACAATTCTGATGGAGGACATGCAAAAAACATGGGAACAGACAACATACAAATTAAACCGGTTTTTAATACAGAAACATAGACCTGGAGTTCAGAAAAAGATATGCTCTAAATCGTTATACATATATTTTTTTACCCTCTTATAAAAGCAGATTCAGGGAACAGCCTTGAGGTGAAACGAAAGAAAGAACTGAGGGCATTAAAAAGCCCTCAGGTTTTTTTTTTTCAAGCTAAGTGGCTCCTGGGAAGGAGGAGAAGGAAAGAGTTAGGGAAAAGTAGGGGCCCTTTTGCACTGAAAAGTCTTACTGTACGTCTCAGTTAATTCTGAAATCTTTCACATAGACACTGAATGAGACCTCACCACAATATAAAGGATGATATGCTTCAAATCACTGGAAAACTCGATTTCTATATTTCTATATTCTAATCCACTGTCTCTTAGCAGCATTAATTCTAAGTAGAGATGCTAAGTTAGAAGGCAGTTTGGCCTAACTAGCAAGTGGCTCAGTGACAAATAGAGCCTGCTGAATTCAAATTGCTTAGTAGCTCTACAAATTATAGCTGATAATTTATGAAATTCTAATTCAACCGACCAATGCCGTGAATGTCAAACAAAGGACAGCAAAATATATGTTGAAATTTCCATGTACTCATGTTTTACAAAAGAGCAACTCTAAAGCATAATTAAATCAAAAGCACATGCTATACTAATTTCATCATGTTAGCATTACAGGCAAGAATACACACAAGGGCTTTGCTTTTCCACAAAGAACTTTGCCTTATCATTTTCTAGTTTAAAATCTCCCATGCCAGTAAAATTCTCCAAGGTAATTACAATTTTAATCTAAAGCACTAGAACCCACATAATCAAGTTATAATAAATGACAACTTGGGAGTTTCCCCTTACCTAGATATATTGTTGAAGCTGAGAAACAAATGTTGGAGGCAGGGCAAATTATCCACATCTCTCTGGAAGAAAACAGAAAGCAAAAATGAATCAGATGAAAGAAAAAAGTGTTATAAATGTCTTCTTGCTAAGCTATTGAAATATATAATCATTTCTATTTACTGCAACATTGCTACATCATTGGTTTCTGCTGGACAGTGAGCTCCATTCTCCTCCACTGCAGATTAAATGGGAGGGTTTCAGTACATCCGCAGAACAAGCTGCACCACTCGCAAGGTAAAAAGCACTGAGGAGACAGGGAGAGATGCTGCCGCTAGCCTCTTTAAGCATGCTTTTGGGAAAGATGCCAAACTGCTACTTCAGCATTTCAGCTGTAGCACAAATACAGTATGATCAAACATTTGTTAAAAATCACTGTTAAAGAGAAGACATTCAAAAGCTTTAAAATTTAAATTTACACAATTAGCCTTCTAAACAATAGTGGGAATTTTATAGCTATTTAACTCACTATTCTCAAAACCTTGGCAATAAACCACCAGTTACAAATGAACCAATACACTAATGATTCCCCCATAAAACTAAAAGCAAATCTAGTAAGTGTCACTGAAGGGCACTGTAAGGGCAATTCCCCATCTCAGCTCATAACAGAGGTTAAAGCATACCTCTGCTGTGTAAATACAGTTAACCTTAACAAATACTGAATTGTTTAGGACCAAATTATTTTTTAAAAAACCAAAAGATAAACACAAGAAAAAGCTATCTAATTTCATTTAATGAAAAGACATAAACCTTCTGAAAAGATTTATATATAATGGAGTAACAGAATCTTAGAGAAGCTTAGTAATTACCAAGTCTACAACCTTATTATTCTCCTAGGAAAAGTGACCAGTTGAGGTTATTGCAGGGGGAGAAGAAGGAGGTGGTGGGAAGGTGGCCCCGGAGTACACAGTGTCCCTAGAGGCTGAGACAGGGCAAGATTCCAGTTGTCCTGACTTCCAGTGCTCTGCTCCTCAAAGTATTACATACTGCCACTTCTTACACAAAATGTTTTTCATTTTTAAGGGCAGTATGATTTGCAGTAATTCTCAGTTATATTTGAACAATATAAAAATAAGTATATTTTACATGTTATTGTGACCAATATTTAAACCTAAATCAAATCTTGTTTTACTGCTTCCATAAATCATTATCTTTCTTCCTCCCTCCTTTTCTTCCTTCCATTTGAAAACTACCATTTCTAAGATGCGAGTAAGAGTTTAGGCAAGTGCATTAAAATTATAGACAAACCTAACTTTTCCCAAAATGCTGTATTTATTTTTTTAAAGTTTGTTGTCCAAAGAAAATATAAAAGTGATAGAATTAAGACAGAGTTACCTTTTTAGGTTTTTCAGAAAGCAAAGGAAAAATGAAGCCGCCTTGTGTTGCTACCTTCCCTAGGTACTATTCTCTAAATTTCTCTCAACCCTTTAGACCCTAAACAGTGTAAAACGAATGCAGCAGCCCATGATCAAAACACTGGCTGTGTATAACATTCATTTGACATTAACATTCTCAGGCCCACCCTGAAAAAGCCTACTCTGCAGATGTGAGAAAATGATTTTTAGAGCTTTTCTTGGTCAAGGAGTAAGTCTACAGAAACAGGAGGGCAGCCAAATTTTCCTCAGTAGGTGATACACTTCATATGTTGGCAAACTTCTAAAATCATCCCTTTCAGCTACTTCTCTCTGATATTCCCACAAATGGAGGAGAAGTGATGGACTAGTGGTAGGGCTCATTTCATTCCAGGGCCCTAGTTTCCAAAGGATAGCTTACTGCTATGTGCTCTCTAGAAACATGAAGTCACAGCCAGACTGAAAGCCCTCTCTGTATTCCTGGGGAAATCTCTTCTCCCAAATTCTTCCTGGAATCTACCTGAGATATTTCTGGACACAGTAATTGCTACTGACCCTCCACTGGGAGAAACTGAGAGGCAGCAGCCTTTAAAAATACATTTTTAAATCAAGGCATCTCATTTAAAAAATACGTTTGTCCCTTTGAGCTCCAGCATATCATCTCAGAGATTATAAACACCCTCTAAGACATAACTTTTTTCTATTAAAATGTAAAACTCAAATTCTATCAGGATATGATTTGTGAGAAAAAGGTTTTTTAAGTTTAGTTGATGAAATTACAATATTATAATTATTTAATCTTTGTTTATGAGACAAAATTTTACAAGTCTTTATGAAATTTTCAAAATCATTAAATGTCATTGCCTGATAAAGTTATAAAAAATACTCACAAGTTGAAACACTAAAATACAGAATTCAATTCTATATATCCTTATAATCATTTACATAGATAGCCTTTCCAGAACTTTAAAAAGCAAATAATTACCCACAATCATTTTTTTGTTGTTCCAAATTTCATTTCTGTAATAAAATGTTTTCTCCAATTTTCCTAGCAATTCTGTGATATACTTTTGTAGTGAAATTCTAGCATTACAATAGATAAAAAGAAAATACCATATTTACCATATCAATTATCTATGCATGCATTATTTATATTTATTTATTTTTTGAGACAGAGTTTTGCTCTTGTTGCCCAGGCTGGAGTGCAATGGCGCAATCTTGGCTCACCACACCCTCCACCTCCTGGGTTCAAGCGATTCTCCTGCCTCAGCCTCCCAAGTAACTGGGATTACAGGATGTGCCACCAAGCCCAGCTAATTTCGTATTTTTAGTAGAGACAGGGTTTCTCCGTGTTGGTCAGCTGTCAAACTCCCGACTTTAGGTTATCCACCTGCCTTGGCTCCCAAAGGGCTGGGATTACAGTCATGAGCCACCATGCCCAACCTATGCATGCATTATTTACAGAAGAAAGACCTGTTAAAAATTACTAGGGGATGGCTCCTCTAATATGAGAGAGTAAACGAAGGATGGGACATACATAAGATCCAGGGAATACAATTCATCATCCAGAGAGGCAAAGAGAAATCCAAGGATGAAATCTGTATAGCAGGGCTAAATGCAACCAAGCTACAATAGACAGAGGACAGGAGGCTCTGGAAGGGTATCTCCAAGAGATGAAAATGAAACATATATCACCTAAAGTCTTTGCCCACACAGAGAAGAAGTTTAGGTTCTGTTGAAGAGTTTGGAAATTAATTAATGACAGTTAAACAAACTCTAAATTGAGACAGTTATTAATCTCAGGGAAAACAAAAGTTTAACATCATGGTCTAAGACTCACTTTGAAAACCTCACCTTGCTTTGTCAACCATCCTAATCCATTTTATCATAAATGTATCCATTTTCATTAGCCCCTGCATTGAAAGACCCATCCTAAATCAGAACCCCAAGAAATTTCCAACTAAATCTCCTGTCTTTGCCTTTGAAGATACAGCCAAGGAAATATCAAGGTAGCGTGCTTTTACTTGCCAGAAATAATTTCTCCTTCGCTTTATCAAATAATCATTCTGGTGGTACTCTGGAGGAGCCAGCACGCAACAATCTGCTTATCTAAAAATTATTTTGGAATGATGGGGAAAGTGGAAATGGGGGTTAGGGATAATGTAAGGAAGCTAAATTCTCATCTCTTTTAAGAAAAAGTATTTATTTTACAGTCAAGCATTAAATACTCCTGACACTGGAGGGGTAACTGGAGGTAACTATTTCAGAAGGTAACTATTTCTGGAGGTAACTATTTCAGCATCAGAGAAACTATAATAAGCAGACAGAATACCAACATACCTAAGATGAGAGAAAAAAAAAGAAATAAAATGTTTTTATTCTGAAGGTAACTATTTCAGCGTATTAGAGAAACTATAACAAAGCAGACAGAATGCCAACATACCTAAGATGAGAGGAAAAAAATGAAATAAAATGTTTACATGTAGGGGAATATTTATAGCTCATCTGTTATTACTTTATTATCTTAAATTTATTACATTTAATAAAACAATAGTGAAAATAATATTCAAAACATTTTTGAAGTAAAATTCAAAACTATTTTATGTATTTGGAAAATATAATCTTTTTAAAAATAAAAGAAAATTATTTATCACATGATTATTTGAAAGGATTATAATTATTTACTTTTCAAAAAAATACTGACTTGTCTTCTGAGAAAAATGCTTGTCCTACTCTGCTCAGGAACTGCTATCCATATCCCTAAACTTCATAAAAGAACTAAATGGCAAGGAGCAGTGGCTCACACCTGTAATCCCAGCACTTTGGGAGGCTGAGGTGGGGGAGGTCAGGATTTCAAGACCAGACTGACCAATATGGTGAAACCCCATCTCTACTAAAAATACAAAAATTAGCTGGGCATGGTTGTGTGCGCCTGTAGTCCCAGCTACTCAGGAGGCTAAGACAGGAGAATTGCTTGCCCCAGGAGGCAGAGGTTGCAATGAGCCAAGATCACGCCACTGCACTGCACTGCACCCTGGGTGACAGAGCAAGACTCAGTCTAAAAAAAAAGAACTAAATGATTCAGCAATCTGACCACATGGGGAACATCTATCACTGGAGCTATTTTTAGAGCAGCTTCCTTTAGAGGAATAAGGAAGAAAAAAGGTGAACAGATAAGGATTTAGACATGTACCAAGTTGGGCAAATATGAGTGAGTATAATAAAATCACAGCTATCCTCTTTACAATGTAGGCTTTCATACAAAACAAGTTAGAGTAAAAATACATAGGGGTAATTATTCTAACTTGGAGAGCTGTAAACAGATTTATTCACAAAGCATCAAACAAGTTTGGATACAAAAAGCAAAGTACTCCTTTTTATAAAAAGATTTATTACGTTAATTCCAAAATACTTGCTTCACTCATCACTTTGTGACACAGACACATATTACATGAGGACTAATAGCTGCAAGCCATATATTAAACTCTAATCAGATATATAAATGCCAACAAAAAAAGTCCATTACTTGGCTCTGTTACCCAAAGGCATCAATGTACTTATCTGGTTTTTGTACTTGTTTACCACTCATTACACAGCAATAGATACAGTCAATTCAGCCACATCTTACTCTTGCAGTCTGATTTTCTTCTACACACTGTTGTAATACCCTA